CATGGAAGCCATGCAGCAAGAGTGATGTAAGAGCTAAAATCATGATGTAAGCTTTGTTTCCTGGTTCAGATTATTTTTGAGAGCACACAAGACACTTGGAATGTAGTTCTACTCCAGATATTAAATGATAAGGGAGTATTTATTGTGTTTGTTGCAATAATGGATGGTTAGGAAAAATGGTCATAAGGGCACATTGAAGTATCTTATTTAGGACAAAATGAAATAATAGTTTGGATTTCTCCAGAAATGGTCCAGCTTAAAAAAAGGGGTAAGACGGATGAAATGTGATTGGAAAATTATGGTAATTTTTCATGCCAAATATGGGGGGGGGCAGTTCATGGGGATCCATTATACAGCTTTTTGTTTCAACTCTTACATGTGCTCAAAATTTTCCATAACAAAAGTTAAAAACAGTAGGATTATTAAGAGATACTGTTTCTTGCAAACATCGGAGCCCAAAATATCAGTTCAACCCACAAATTGTATGCATTACATGCCAGAGACCCTGGGAGTCGTGGAGATTTTTGTTCAAGTCTATAAAGGCAAAATTTCTCCTGATGAAGCCCCACAGCCAAAGAAAAACAACAAAGTGTTTGGTTTTCTGACTCGTACCACAAAGCTTGAAGGAGGGCAGTCAAGCAGCTCAAGAAAGGGATAGGCAACCCACTATCCAACCCACCAACCATGGGCTCAGCATGCTGAACCGCACTGGTCCCCTCCCTGAGAAGCAGAAGCAAATCCTAGGCCTACCATCAGGGCAAGGACTTTGTCGGGCACGCCCTTACCTGATCACCTGATCACCTGAGGCTCTGCAGTGGGGCCGGGCAGGGCACCCAGCCTGCTGCTAGGTAGGAGTCCTCCTCGCCCCTCCTGGGGTGTAGAGCCTGGGGTCTGTCCTATTTCACCTGAGTTTAAACAACTTTCTTTTTTTTGGGGGGGGTATCCAGTCGTGGGGCCTGAACTCTGGGCCTGGGTGCTGTCCCTCAGCTCTTTAGCTCAAGGCCAGCGCTCTACCACTTGAGCCACAGCGCCACTTCTGGCTTTTTTCTTTTTGCTTATGTGGTGCTGAGGAATTGAACCCAGGGCCTCATGCATGTAAGGCAAGCGCTCTACCACTGAGCCACCTTCCCAGCCCCAGTTTGAACAACTTTCTTGGCCCCCCGTCCTCAACGCTCACCACTAAGGCAGCTGTCCCAGGGGTGGACTGAGCAGAGTGAGCGGTTCCTCTCTGCCCACGCCCTCCTGTGAATCGTAAGCATGCCACACAGCAGTGTGACCAAGGATCCCTGCGAATTCACCACTTCCCAGGCTCCCGAGAATCGTAAGCATGCCACACAGCAGTGTGACCAAGGATCCCTGCGAATTTACCACTTCCCAGGTACGGGGCTAACCCACGCACGTGGCCCGTCCCATTTCCTACACCACATAACCTCGCAGTGGATCTCGATGTCCAGTTAGGGAGACTCTCAGCCTTGAGATGCTAATTTACCTAGTTTCCCACCTCGGAGCCACGATCAGTCCTATGTGCAGTCTCCTAGTACCTCTACCTTGTTTTGAGAGAGAATTGGATGCTCGCTGTTTTGCTCAAATACACTCACAATATAATGAACTCTGCTCCTAGTCTTTCTTCCACAGGAATGGTATTTACCAAATAACACCGTCTCCAACAGATGCCTCTTCATTCCAGCACCACATGACTCTTCTCTTGTCTAGGCCTGGTTCACTCAAAAGGAAGATAAGAAAAACTGCCTGTTGGTTGCGACACAACTGTCATGAAGCTGCCCACAACTCCTGAGCCCCCACTCACATGTGCACACACACATGCACACACACATGCACACACACACACACACACACACACACTGCACTCTTCTAGGAAGCAGTGTTTAGACTCCGTCAGTCCTATCAATGTTGCAAACCTTGCTGCCCTCTAGTGGCTGGTTGGAATAATACCACTGCTTTAAGAGGTTTTGTAGAATTTTCAAATTCATTGGATGATGGCTGATTCCTAAGTGTCAGCTATTCGGTACTAAGAGCTACCAGAGTAGATGCCTGTGCTGGTCCAAGCCCGGACATTAATCATGAAGACTCGGCATTTTAATGATGGCTTTCTTTCTAAATTGGACAGCTTGACAATTCACTCTTACTGGTGAAACCAGAAATCCTATACCCTTTGGGATGAATTATTTTTATAATACATCTATGTGCATTTCCAGGATGGAAAACTGAAAGGGTGCCAGAATCAAAGCCCACGTCCATCCTGGGGCCTGCCTTCCACTGGGCACGGCAGTGGCATGGCACTGCCGCTGGATCCACCCTCTGCCTTCCAGAGCTCCGCTTCCCAATCGGGTGCCCCGTCTCCAGGGTGCTGGTGGGCATCGCGTCATCATCTTCTCACCACGATCAAAGCTCTCTTGTGTCTAGTGAATGAAGTGGGCAGGGGACAGTGGCATCCCGCTTCATGGGAGGTGTAAATAGGAGGATGGTAGTCCATGGCAGACTAGGGAAAAACACAAGACCCCCATCAGAAAAATAATACATGCAAAAGGGGCTAGGGGTGTGGCTCAAGTGGTAGAATGCCCGCATAAGGCTGAGTTTAAACCGTGGTACTATCAAACTAAAAAAGGAAGGAAAAATCTTTGCTTCTGATAACCATCAGAGAAAACAAGTCATGAAGCAGCACTTTCCTAACAGCAGGAGTGCAAATGTTCCAGGGAGTCTTTTCCTCTGGGTTTGTGTAATGGATCTCGGGGCTAGAGTTGGGTTTGTGTCTATTTAAACCATAGGCTGTTAACCTGCACAGGGTTGTTTCGCAGCAAAGATGAGCTGACTGTGGGAAAGATCAACAGTTCAAGAATATAGCAGGCAGGGTCAGGGTGCAAAAGGAAACTAGCACCCACGGAAGACAGTAGATGGCATGAGATGAGAGGGGAGGGTAAAAGGACTTTGAGGCCTGGCACAATCCAGAGAAGAGCTGTTGTTCAGACAGACATCAACTTTGTGGAGCCTAATTGCTGTGAAAGAACGTGACTCAACTAATTTTCCAGAATTCAGAAAGATGTGAGGATCAAGCCCGACCCTGAGTGACTGTCAAGGTGACCCAGGAAGATGGACATGTAGTCCATGGCACCTCCTGTCCACATCCGCGTTGGCTCGCTCTAACCAAGGTATACCGCTCCTTCAGGTGACAGCGTATCGTCCCCACCCCACCGACGGCTCGTCACAGTGAAGTCACCAACAGCAGCGCATGATGGACAGAAACTCAAATGCTGTGCGCCCTTCTTCCCTATGCAAGGTACCTCTCTGGGCGCTTTATCCATGCCAACCCATTACCGGCTCGATGGTCTAGCCCCTGGTGTGTGACTGGGATCTGATTGGAACACAGGGGCTTTGCAGATTTAACTAATCAACTTGAGTGTCTGAAGGGGAGCCTTCACTCAACATGGCTGGCATCTCCGTAAGAGGATGTGGAAAAAAAAAACGAGAATAGCATGGGAAGAAAGACAGACACTGACGAACAGTATGTGACCGGGACTCCATGGGAAGGACAGACACAAAGGATGCCACAGAAGAAGGGACATGCACACAGAAAAGAAAGCTGGCCACGGAAAGATGGAGACTGGTAGGACACTCCCACCCCCAGGGCCACGAGATGCCAGAAGCGGGCAGTGGTGATGGCCGAGAGCCGTCCAGGGCGCCGGGCCAACACCTTGATAGTAGCCCCAGCAGCCTGCGACACAAACTTGCTATTGTGTGGGAGTTGCTGCAGGAGGCTGATGCACAAGGCCACAGTCAGCCCACCCAGGCCACAGGATTCCTGCGCTGAGATGCTTGGCTACAAGATGCTGTGGCTTCTCAGGGTCAAATTCAAGTCACACGTTCACCACTAGTGATGAATTAAGTCATCTGAGCCAGCCCAGTCATCTGCACAATGGACGCAGAGACCCCTGAGCATTTGGCTGTGTGTTCAGGCTTAAGAGCATGGGGGGGGGGGGGTCCAGCTCTCTCTACCAGTCTGCTTTGGTTCTCATTCCCTGTATCTTTAACCAGATGAAATGGGACAATGCTGAATCTGAATGCACTAACCTGTAATTCTTTGAGTTTATATGCTTCCTCCATACACCTCTGGAAACTCCAGCCTAAAGGAACTAGCTTGATTTCTTCATGCCTTTACCAAGAAACAAAAAACAAAAAAACCCCCCAGAGTTCCTATATTAATATATCTTGTTATTCCCACATAATTATCTCTTTGTAAAGAACCATAGAATCTACTTTTCATTATTCTTTCTCTTTATCTACCAACTAAAATAGAAGAAATGAAGAAATATTTTCCTTATATTTATTAGAAAACACAGGTCTCAAATTAGATTGCATTTCTTTATTATATACTCGATCTATTTGTTTGATGTGCAAAAAGTATCCGTGATACTCACATTAAATTAGAATTTTATATCTGCCCCTAGTAAATGTATACATGCTATAAGAAAAACCAAAGATCCTTTTCAGATCAGTGGTCTCTACATACTCCATAACGAGGCTAATTCACCATTAAACCATGTCTTTTAAAGACACAAGTTCTTTGGGCTGGGCAGAGTGGCTCATACCTGTATTCTCATGAGAGGCAGAGAAAGTGGGATGACAGTTTGAGTACGGGCTGGGCAAAAAGGAGACTATATTTAAAAGAGCAATCTGGGCATGACAGCAAATGCCTGTAATCCCAGCTGCATAGAAGGCAGAGGTAGGAGAACAAAGGCCTTATGTGAGCATTTACAGGCCAATGGTAGAACGCCTGCCTAGCAAGCGTGAAGCTTCAGGTCAAACCTTAATACAAAACAAAGAGAAAGATGGTGCCCGTGGCTCACGTCCGTAATCCCAGCTATGCAGAAGACTGAGATCTGAGGATTGCAGTTCAAAGCCTGCCCAGGCAGCAAAGTCCATGAAACTCTTCTCTCCAACTAATCAGCAAAAAGCTGGAAATGGAGCTGTGGCTTAAGTGGTACAGTGTCAAGCCCCGGAACCAGCACAAAAACAAACAACAAAAACCCCACAAATTCTTTCACTCTGAGTCAGGAGCCAGAAATCCTTCCTGTTACCACTTAATAGCAGAGTTCTGGGCAAATATTTTCCTTTGTAAATATTCCACCACCTCCAGTCTGGACTTCAGCATCTCCACGTCATGGCACGGGACCTGCGAAGGGAGCAGAGAAAACCCATCACAGCCTCCACCGCCACAGGCCCCGGTGCTCGGAGTCCCATAGGTGAGTGGATTTCCAAGTTAGGGTGGACTGCACCCCTTCTTAACCAGCTGTGAGTCCGATACGCAGTAACTACAACCAGAACTCGGCGATTCCCTACTGACAGGGAACTTGAGCTGGCAGGTGAAGAGTCACCATGATGCAGATACTCGGGATGGAAAAATAGCCGGGCAGAGAGAGGAATAAGAAAGGGGAGAGTCGGAGGGGAAGGGAAGAGGGGAGTAGAGAGGAGTAAGAAAGGGGAGAGTTGGAGGGGAAGGGAGAGAGGAGGGGTGAGAATGAAGGGAACGGGAGAGTGGAGAGCTGGGGGTGGAGGCAGAAGACAGCAGAGCAAGGAGCTGCAAAGCCCTCGAGTAGGCAGACAACGCCAGCGAGGCGTTGAAAAGAACTTGAGCATGCTTAGATGCAAACCTAACTGACAACTCACTCGGGCCTTTTCTTGTGAGAGAAACACAACTCAGATATGACCAATCAGTAGAACTTTGTTCCTTATAAAACCAAGGACTCTCCATCAAGACTAATCAAGTAAGGTGACTGTAACCAACTCTGCTTTACTGTCTTTGTCCTGCCCTTGTATTTGCTTGGGGGGAGGGAGGGGAGCAAAGACTCTTACTTTGCATTGCCTGATACACAAACTGCCATTTGCTCAAACCAGCTCTTTCAAGATTTTATTATAACTTGGAGTACTTACTGGTAAACTAGAAATAGCAAATGTGAATTAAGACTTTTTTGGGGAAAAAAGGCAACATCATACCTGAACAACTTGGTAGCCGAGTAGCTGTAGGTGTCTCTGCTTAATCGCTTCTTTCCCTAGTAGGTGTTTGCTGTCAGAGCAAAATCTTTTTGGACCATCAATGCACAGTGCTACCCTGAGGAGGCGCAAGGAAGAAACGTGTCTGACAAAAGGCTTCAAGGCATTTGTGTATTCCTGTGTGCCAACACTATTTAAAACAAACCGCGGACTGCCCTTTAATGTGTTGAAAATCATTTAATGCTACTATCCTAAGTCTATAAAACACTCGAGGACTTTACAAATATAATGTGCAAGAAGCAGCGTTCTAATTTTCTAGAATCATGTCTTTTTTGCTTTCAACTTTTCAAGAATAAAAATGTCAGTTTATTCTTTGCCAAGTTCTTACCTTTTATGGACCTCCTCATCAGCTGTGAATGGCAGCGCAAATCCTTCCTCATCTAACTTAATTTCAACATCTGGTGAGAGAGAAGGCGCAATGCCTTGAGTACTAGGCCACAAACACCACCTCCCGCATCCCTGGTCCTGGCTGCACTCCTTCCACCCTGCATCCCAGCAATGGGCTGAGGCTGCAAAGTAACCGCCACAAACAACAGCGAGGGTTCCAACTTCACAGGTGCTGGCATCAAGCGAGTCAGCCGTCAGTCCAGGCTCAGCTGCACAAAGTGGGGTCCCAGCAATCTTAGGTAGGACAAGAACCACCTACACCTTGCCTTCCTCCATGCCCAGGCCCAGCGTCAGAGGGAGGCATGCTCTCAGGCGACTGAACACTTTCAGCTCCAGCATATGACGCCTCCATCTGACCCCGATATGAGTGCCTCCAGCCGCCTCCCAACCCCACCCCACCATGCTTCGGCTCATGTACTGCCATTCCTTCTGTAGAAAGAGCCCATTAAGGAGAAGAGTTAGATGCCATCACATGAAGCCTGTGAACTGCTACTGTCCTTAATGAAGTGATTCTTTGACTCGACTGTGAAGAACAGGAAAGGCACATGGACTTGGACTCCAGCAAGTGCTGCCCAATGGACAGCCTGTGCCCGGAGATGGTGATACCCAGACCTCCAGCCCAGCAGGTACCAGCCATGTGTGGCCACTGCATACCAGAAATGGGGCTCGTGCACACGAGGATCTGAACTTCCAATTTTAACTTTCTGTTTAAAGAGCCACTTAGTAATGGCTCCTGAATCCTGACAATCCAGGTCTTAACTCTAACGGCAGCGAATGATGACAGAGCAAGCACTGGCCATGCTCCAAGTGTTAGATTTCACCCCTTCCTTCAGCAAGACCCAGGACGTCACCGCTTTTTATTTTGAGATGAAGAGGCAAACAGAAAAAGGTTAAAACATTCTACCCATATCAGCTACATAAACAAGGCTTAAAATGATATAGTCTTGCCACGATAACTCTGCCCCTCACCACTGCTTCACCTTGTCTTAAGGTAAGGGAAGATCCATTTTGCATTTTCAGAGACCACTGGCTATTAAGTCCTGTAGGTCACCAAAAGAAGCCAGAATTCTTCAGATCAAAACAAAATTCCCACTCGACTTACCTATGGTGTAACAGTAAGGTGTCAACACTTTTGAAGCGAAATACAATCTTGACCCTAAAAGGTCAATCAGTCCCATCATCACGGACTTATAAAGAGGAAAATCCATCGGGGTCTCCAGGGAGCAGCAGGGAGTTAAAAATGATTTCACTTGATACCTAGGAAGAAGTTTCGGACCCTAAAATTCATACATGAAAACATGAAAAATAAGATTGAAATAAAGAACTGAAGGTTACATGGGTAAAAAACATCTGGCACAAGCTTACTTTACAAGCAAAATCACTCTCTATAGCTATGGGCAAGTACTTTTCCCAATATGACAGTGCGTAAGATAGTTATAGTTCAAAAATATCTTGTAAACATGTTTGAAAAGTAGTCACCATACACAGAGAGAGAAAGAAGGGAATTAAAGACAGAGGAGAGGAAGAGAACACAGCATTGTCCAAAACTGAATTCTTATCATTGCTTCAAGGGCCTTAATTATTCTCCACCAAAATTCTTAAGAGTGAAAAAATGGGATAAATATGGCATTTCAATTTAGAAAAGGTAGTGATGAAATAAACAGTGCTAGCAAACTGGTCTCTTAACTGGAAAACAGCCAAGTTCAATTAGCATCCATCACAGCGTAAAACAAATCTTGGGTGGCATAAAACAAGTTCTATAGTTAATTCATTCTGTTCTTGAAAATTGGTGCAAGATAGATTTTGAGTGTGTTCACCACAAAAAGAAAAACAAACTCTGAGATAATGCATGTTGATATATACTGTGGAATGGCCAACTGTGTTCTTTATTTAAGAACAACATGAACAAGATGCACACAATTTTGTTTTAAAATACCTAAGAGATTTCTCCAGTGCTGAATAGCCTAAATGGTGGTGAGAGAAAAACCCAGAGGACGCAAAGGCAGAGCTCACTAGAAAAACTAAAACTGCCAATATGTCATCAACAAGAGTAACTTAAAACATGGTACTTTTACATAATCACCTGTTCCACTCCAAGTGAACAAGTAGAGTGTTTATGTATCTGGGTACACCTGAGAATTGCTCACTCGGAGACAACAGTGGTGTCTCTCCAGTCTTAGACCCTCTTCCCAATCTCAGAGCCCCTCCCTGTGTTCAGGAGAGGATGGAGGATAGACAGGGGCTGCTGAGCCCTCGGCAGTGACATCTCAAGCTCAACAAGGCGTGTGCGGCTATAAGGACGAGTCTTTATAGTGCTATAAGGAAGAGCAAACTCTACCTACACTAAGCTGCCAGAGAAAAGTCAAAACTCTGGCTTGGATTCAAAAATACACTCAGAAACCATGTAGGATGTGTTCGGAATGGAGAGTCATGCTTTGATAACGAATGGCTATGGGAAGTGCTCAGGCCTTTGAACTCCTCAGAGGATGTGGGAATGTGGCACTCACAAGCAACGTGGTAGTTGATGAACAAAATGGATCCTTCCAGAAGAACACAGAAATGCCACTAGTATCAAAGAAAAGGCTGTGTAGAGACAACTGACTCCAAGTAAATGAGAAAGTTCTGTCTTGTGAGAAGATCACTTAGCCAGATCAAAAGTGAAAGAAATGAAGAATTTCAAGAAAGAAAACCAGCCAAGCCACACTCCTCCCCACCCTAGGGGAAAAAAGCCACACCACCGGGACTCCTGTTTTCTACCTTATAGAAAGGGCACTCTAGGACGGAGGTCATGAAAAGCTGGGTCAGCCGGGCCAGACTCAATCTGTCCAGGTACAATTGTCCACCTGAAAGACAAAGCACCTGCCACTGCTCAGTCCGATCAAGCAGAAGGACAGAGGGAACAGCAGCATGATGCATGGCAACATATTCCCCCAGGCAACAGGCAGAAACACCCATGGTAGAAACCTACCATCTTCTTCACTGACCGACTTCCCAAAATTCAAGCTCCCAGCCACAAAATATATATGAAAGGTGATGACGTTAACTCTGGAGTTGGTCACATTGGGTGGCCTTGAACAAAATGAACCATACCCTGAATTCTCTTTTAAAACAGAGATAGTTGGGGCGAATGATGAAAGGGGTGATGCTAATCAAGATGTATTGTACTCGCACACTGCCAAGTTGAATTCCAACCCCTTGAACAACCATGTAAGAAAATAAGTAAAAATATACTAAAAAAGAAAATAAACAGTTACAGTTGCTCACTGGTCAGAGGCTCTGTCCCTCATGCTGGTTCTTCCCACCAGAAGCACGGTGCACTATGGGAATGCCATCTATCTCTGCTAGGGCACCGATCACTTATGATTGCCAATCATTCCAGAAGAAAAACTAAAGGCAGATCACCACTCAACTTAAATGAGACTGAGACCATCCCACGTTGAAAAAACAAAAAAGGTGAATCTTTTTTCCAGTGGTCAAGTCATAATCAACTTACCTTGGAGCTGTTGAAGAAAAATGGGGCTGAAGAGTCGGGCCATGAAGTTGACTGGATGGCATTCTATGAGAGAACACGAGTGCAGAAGTCTCAACAGTGTTTTGGGTGGAAAAGAACTGAAACGAGTGGACAGCACATTTTCCAGCTTTGTAAATAAAGCAGTGGCGTTTGGCGGCAGATAATTGAGTTTTCCAAATGGTTCAATTAGTTCAGCAATCTGAGTAGGTGAAAATTTCTCTGACTGGCAAACAAAATTTTCTGCCACTGCATTGAGAATAGGTTTTGAAAGAATCAGTTTTTTACTGCAGTACTCCATCACTGTGCTGGTGACCGCAGGATCCAGGGTGAGGCAGAGTGAAGCTATGTGTTGCTCTAGGGCTCTCATAAAAAACCTGTCATAGTGTCCAAAGTATATGAAGGCCTCCAAGACCTTTCTGAGCTCTTCATTTGTGAAATACGGAATGTACCGAACAACAGATTTGCCCAGTTTTATAACCAGAGGCATTGCCTGTGTTTGATCAAGAACTACCAGCGCAGTGAGTATTTGACTGATTGATTTAGGACTCAGATGGGAAACTATGGAAGGAGCAAAGTTGTTTATTGCATTTAAAAATGTTTGATGTTGGTCTGCTTTTTCAGGACATGCCTGCAGTATTCTGTAGATGGCCACAGTATCCTCTGGAGTAAATGTTTCCAATTTTTTACCCCGCAGTTGGCATAAAATCAGTTCAAGCATCATGCAAGCTGCACCTTGTAGTCTAATCAAACTTTCTCCAAGAATACAAAGATTGTGGCTTTCCAGGCCACCTCTTCTGAGACGATTGTGGCATTCTGCCACCAAATTTATTATGAGGCGACTCTGAGGATCCACGTGCAGCAGAATGAGCGCTCGCAGGCCAGTCACCAAGGCTGCGTTGGACAGGTCCGAGGGTGCTCGCTCAAACCGGAAGCACAGAGCTTGGAAGGCACTATGCTCTAGGATTTCTTTGGGCAGCCTTTGATCACTTGGCCTTCTTTCCACTTCACAAATGCGCTGCAAAGCTGCGGCGGCCAGGGTGTCGGGCAGTGTTTCCAGTGTGTTCACGACGCCTAACAGCTCTTCTGAGGAGGTGCAGCTGTTCAGTCTCCTGCAGAATGCCTTTTCGTTCTCCTTTTTAAGATCCCGTTTCAGCGCATCCCAGTTGCGCACCGGGGAGAGCACCCGCTCGCCAGCGGGCTGCAGGTCCTTGCCATTTTCCGAATGGAATTTCTTACAGAGAGCATGATGGAACCGGACCCTGGAAGGCCCACGTTGTAGTAGCGAGCAGAGCCAAAGATGCCGGGAATCCAGGGGGACCGCAGGGCCAGGATTTGCAGGTTGGTGGTTCCTCGCAGCAGCAGCCAGAGCTCCAGAGCCCCGAAAACTAGACGGAGGAGGAAAGCTCCTGCGCAGAGCGATCAAAGCCATGCCATCCTCAGATCCTCGACTCTTCTAGATTCACCGATAAAAGAAAAAAAAAAAAACACCTCGCGGTAAAAGACAACAGAGACAGGACGTACTTGTACCCGCAAGGATCAATACAACTTTTCCCGCCAACCGGTCCCCACCTCCCACTCCGAAGATCCCCAGCGGGTCGCGCCGGGGGCCTCGCCCAGGGGCTCGGTGAAAACACCGCGGCTTCCCTGTCCCGTTTACGGCAAAGAGGGACTCAGGCGAGGAGGAACTGCGTCCAGAGGCAGGGCGGAGACCAGGCCGGCGGGCTCGCTCCCCACCCCCGGCCGACGAGGTCCCGGGCTTGAACTCGGCTCCTGGGCGCCATCCCCGAGCTTTGCTTTTCCATCCCGTGATCTCGAAACTAGAACTTTCCCGCAGTGTTTCATTCCCCGGGAAGGGCGAGGCCGGCAGGATGTCGGCCGGCCGGGGAGGCTCGGCTTAGGAGGACGAGGCCCGCCGTGGCCCGTGGGGGAAAGGAGCCGCCCGAACTCGCGCAGCCCCCGAGCCTGGGCGCGGAGGCGGGA